GTGACCATGGGAAAGTTGCAATGGCTGTTAAGTATGAAAAATGACCATAAGTCACTTTTTCAAAGTTATAACTTCAAAAGGTCACTAAATGAATGGTTGTAAGTTGAGGATTACCTGTAGCATGGACTATTTTGAACAGATAAATGACAATTGTTGCTGCTCATCTATTTACAAATCACCACAGGTATTACTTAACTATTTTAATTTCTTTTGTTTCTTTTTGAAACATGACACAGGTTTAATTTTTGGATCAAAAGTAGTACTTTAGTCCCTCAAGGATGGGTTATAATATTCTGAATTTTTTTCTATGACATTGTAGTCAAGCAATCATTTCTGAGAGTGTTACTACACTTTTCAGACAAAAACCACAATGTCTTTTTTCATATACATATCACCCACAAAGTCAGCAGATTACTTCATGCCATGAATTTATTTCTTGGAAACAGGTTCTTTTGCATTAGTCATAGGGGGAAACCAATGTCAATATAAACCCAAGAAGGTGTTTTGTTATCAAATACCATGAACAATATGTTTCTTTTGAACCTCTTTATGACATATACAATCAAGTAGTAATGAACTTAGAGAAAAGTGTTTCAGTCATTTCTTCAAAGGGAAGAAAGATTCAAAGAAGGCAGAGAGATAGATTAAGCTGAATGTTTTGCCTACATGTCCAGGAAGGAAAGACATCATTGATGAGAAATAAATGAAAAAGAGTGTATACATTCATACACCGTGTTAGTTTAGACTAACTCCATTCACTATATTATTCCATACATTTATATCCTTGCAAACTATTCTTGCTTCTAAAATATCCATATACTACTTCATACAATGTTTAAGAGAAAGGGGATGAAAGTAGACTTACAACTGGAATTCTAGAGGTAAGTAAAATAAGAACATTTATGCTTTTCCTTCTTCTTAAACAAAATCCTAACCTTAAACAAAAACCTTCTTCTTAAACAAAAACCTAAGACACCCTAGTATCAATTGTGCATTGTTAGGACACCCCTCCTCTTCCCCTCCAAGCAACATTTATCACCTAATTTGCAACTTGGCATACAAAGAAAGGAGGAGACTTGTACTGTGAGAGGGACCTTGGAGTCTTAGTGGACAACCAGCTAAATATGAGCCAGCAGTGTGCAGCAGCAGCAGTCAAAAAAGCTAATGCGATCCTAAACTGCATTAACAGAGGGATACAATCAAGATCAAGTGAGGTACTAATACCACTCTATAAAGCCTTAGTAAGACCACACCTAGAGTACTGCATCCAGTTTTGTTCACCACATTATAAAAAAGATGTTGAGACTCTAGAAAAAGTACAAAGAAGAGCAGCCAGGATGATTAGGGGACTGGAAACTAAAACATACAAAGAACTGGGCTTGGCTCGTCTAGTAAAGAGAAGGACCAGGGGAGACATGATAGCGGTCTTCCAATATTTGAGGGGCTGCCACAGAGAGGTGGGGGTCAAGCCATTTTCTAAAGCTCCTGTAGGCCAGACAAGGAATAATGGATGGAAACTGAACAAGGAGAGATTTAATCTGGAAATAAGGAGAAACTTTCTGACAGTGAGAACAATCAATCAATGGAACAGCTTGCCCTTGGAAGTTGTGGGAGTGCCATCAGTTGAGACCTTGAAGAAGAAAAAAGAAGAAGATATATACAGTTTCCAAACTTTTGCTTTTGAAAAGGAAATCTAAATTCCAGATAGGGTTCCCCTACTTTCTACAAATGAGACTTTTTAAAAAACCCTGTCTCTTTTGCAAAGTAGTGAGCCCTGTGACACTAAGGTCCTGCCTTAGTCCACCTTTAACACATGTGGATAAAAACCAGCTTATTCAAGAGATTGAATGTGAACTTTTCCTGTTTCTATGTGAAAGGCATGGAATTTGATAAATACTATGATGTGAAGAAGGCAATGGTATATAACTATATTTTTTATTCATTTAAAAAACATTTTAGAGACAAAAATAATCCCAAAATGGATTTAAATAATCCAAAACACATTAATAGTCCAGATATTTTTTAAAAAAATTACAACACCAAAAAGAAAACAGTCAGTAGTAAAATCCAAGACCAGTTACAGCTAAAACAATTTCCATTCAGTTGCTCAATCAACCAAGGTAGGACAAAGCAACTGATAAAATGGACAGTTTTCAATGCATATAGAGAAGAAGCCTTATTGTACCAGTATGAGGTAACAGAAGAATTGCTATAGGAAATAAGCCAGTTTGGTATAGAGGATAAGGTGCTGGCCTAGAACAAGGAGACCGTGAGTTGTAGTCCTGCCTTAGGCACAAAAGCTGGCTGGTGACTTTGGGTCAGTCACTCTCTATCAGCCTAACTCACCTGACAGAGTTGTTGTTGTGAAGAAATAGGAGGAGGAAGAAATATTATGTGCATTCTCTGCCTTGAGTTACTTATAAAGTAACAAAGGCAGCATAAAAATCTAATAAAATAAGCAGATGCATAACGTCTGTGAGAGACAAGAGTCAATGAACCTCCACATCTTGGCAATGCTTCAATCAATTCTTCAGATAATTCTGCCTGTGACATTTCATAAAAAGGAAGTAAGAGAAGAAGGAACTTTGCGGCAAATTGTAAACCAAAAAAATCACAGAAGGACTTGGGAAAGGAAGTACCACCTTCTGTAACAAAGTCCAGAAATTTAGCAACTCTAAAAAACAGAGGATATTTTTGTCTGGACATATTTCGGTCAAAAGTTCAGTGGAATTTCAAATGCTTTAGAGCATTCTTGGTAAATGACCATAAGTTGGAAATGGATGGAGCAAAGCCATATTAATTCTCTTGGATATTTTAGCAACTTCTGCTGATTATGGCGTTCTTCAGAACTGTCTGGTTGGGCAGGTCTTTTGCAGTAATATATTGCAATAATTTTATTCCTGCTGATGTCATTGTTATATTAGGAAAATACTTATTGTTGCATTATCCAAGAATGTCCCAGTGTATTATTTCCTTTTCAATGTTTAATATGCACAAAAATGGTGGCAGATATTATCTAGAGTGGGGTTTCTCAAACTGTGACCTCTACCTCTCTCAGGGTGTGGCAGACAGAATCCAGGAGAGGTGTGAAGAAACTTAGACTTATACATGGCACAATAAATCCACCTTTCTCAAAATTTCATTGTATTGTTTTCATTGTTCATTTATGTTAATTTTGGTGTTTGTATTTGTAGGAGAGGTGTATACACTGAAATTACACTAAAGGGAGGCATGATGGTAAACCATATAGGAAGCCGCAATCTAGATTTTTGGAGTAAAGTGCCATGACTAAACTAATTATGCTCAAATCTTTTATTATTATTATTATCACCTAATAACAAAGAACCAATAGATACCTCTGAATTCTACCTATATTTGATGAAATGCTGCATCAAACAATACGGATAAGATGAAGATTATTTTCTTCAATTTTTCCTATTTCTGGCATTTGTGTGTGGAAGGCATTGAATTTTCCCCCCAAAATACTGTAATAGATTTACAGTTTACCCTTGCTCCATAACCCAGTGTTGTCCCTTGATTTCCAGGTTGCTGGTAAAGAACAGATAAATGGAAACACACTTGCTCAAACCTGGCAAGAAGCTACATGAATTTAAGTCTACCTGTGACAGAGCAATGTGCTTTGTCAGGCTACTTTTGAAGAAAGCCTGGGAGTTTCAGTCAATGCATAAAGCAAAAGCTGTGCTAACCAGTACACAGTAATATCCTTTCTATCTTGGCAAATCATTTTTGCTTCCATGCTGGCCTCACACCATACACTGCCTTTAAACATTATAGAAACATAGCAAACTCTATGTACACATCTCCTTCAAATGTTTTTAAGAGCTAAACTATTACATGGCAGCTTTCAGCTCATTTTTTTTTCTTCCTAGCATTTTCCTGCAGGTGTGGGATCCACCTTTTTCAGATCTATGGGATGCAACAAGAACTGACTGATCTGATGTCATGGACTAGGGAGAACATGACTGGCCAAACGTCACCCAGTCAGCTTTCATGCCTAAGGCAGGACTAGAACTCATAATCTTCTGGTTTCTAGTCTGGTGCCTTAACTGCCAGATAAAGAATAATATACCCGCAAATGAATTTCCTACAAAGTGGAATGCTTCTAATACAGCAGTAATAGTTTGGGCATCTCTATTAAGATGCATTCCCATGACATTCCCCATTTGCAGTAAAAGGTCCAGGTCTAATGTAAGTGTCATCACACTCAAAGTATCTGAAAGTACTACAAATGAATAGAAGTGTCTGCTAGGGCAAGGGGTTGGACTAGATGACCTGTAAGGTCCCTTCCAACTCTATTAATCTGTATCTAACTGGCTCATTACAGCCCTTCAATCTGAATAAAACTGATTTTTCTCTCTCCTTAACTAATCATAATCATGAAACTAAATAAAACTTTTTTTTCCTCCTGAGCTAAAACTTTCTGAACCATGAAGCTAAAAAGGCACATTAAGAAGGCACATGTGGCTTTCCCTGTAGGACTAGAATATGCAACATGAGTCTCAGTGACTATTGATAGTCTTCACAAATATTGCAAGAAGTTCCTGATATGGATACCAATGTTGGGGTGGGTGGGTAATGAAATTGAACCAAGCTTATAAGATTGGTGATGTTCTCATCTAAAATCATATGGTGTTTGGCATTTATTACTCCAAATTTTATAAGATTTCAGGTAATAGCCGTAATTTTGTATGCCAATAATGCCAAGTGTGTGATGGTTCCCACAGGTGCTGTATTGTTGACTGTTGGCTTATGTGGTATTTGTCAATTTTTTTGATAACTGCATAATAGTCTCTATAAAGAAAAAAGGTGGGGATATTTTACCTACATTAGCAGGAGAGTGTGAGGCATCCTATTAAATGTCAGAAAGACCTGGAAACCTGAATCTAGAATTTTCATAATATTTTTAAAGAAAGACGCCCAAACTACTAACTCTTCCCAAATCTCCTGTGCAACGAAAAGAAGGGAGCACATTTACTCACATTCTTTCATCATGCCTATGTCAACACAACGCTTCAGCCGGCAAGCTTGGCAGTGTCTCCGGTTATCTTTGGTAATTTTACAGTTACCATTGAATGGACATGTGAACATCGCTTTTCTTTTCATGCTCCTCCTGAAAAACAATAAACAGAAAATGCATCAAATTGGTTTACTTCTTGATAGGGTAAGGCTTAATTTATAGTTTCTGCACAGATATTGCTCTGAAAGTAAATTGTATGGAAGATTGGCATGTAAAAGGAGCTGTCCCTTAAAAGGCAATATACATAGCTTACCACCAAGCATAGGAGAGATATATCAAACATAACTACAGTTCTGTTTCTAAGAAATATGGGTATTTTTAAAATGTGCTCTGTTATTATACTTGGAAGACTAACAATTTGCCTGTCTTCACAGTTCCCCCCCCCCCCCCCCCAACAATCATTTAATATTTTATGGATTACATGTAGAAAAGCAGTTTTTTGTCAAAGAGAAATAGCCTGTACAATAAACAGGAAACTATAAATAAACTATTCATAGTTCGGATGCCTAAAACAGCCATCTTTAAAGGTAGAAAACCATTTATATCAGTATTCAATGGAAGATGGCAATATATACAACCACCTCAAATCACAACCATTGACTTGTGATAATATGGTTTTTCTTATAAGCTTTCAGTCAATTAACTTGCTTTCTCAGAGACATAAAATGAATTCAGAATTTCAATTTTAAGTACATTGGAGGATGCATCAGTTCACAAAACATAAACAGAAATAAAAAAAAGGTTGGAAAACATCAATCACAACATTTAAGATTTCAAACATGTCATTAATTAATGCAGAATGAACTGGGTTAATGTAACTTGTATCACACCAGATTTGTATTTCTGAAAGCTTATCATGGCAATATATATACCCATTCAGAGTTTAACAGTAAATTTGCCTGCTCCATCAAAATATCATGTGATATTTTAGTGATATGCTCACTAAGCCCAGTGCTTAAAATTATTCATTTATGTGCCATCTGAAAATGTTTGATGTAATGGCAGTATAGATTACGATGCTTTAATCTAAATGTTTAGATAATTAAAGAGGTACTATCTTCTGCTGAAAATTACTGTTGTCTTATGTCCCATGTAGGAAATTTGAACAAACTGAAAGAGCATCTCAGAAGATTAAAAAAGCCTATCAAAACCTTCAGGCACACATGCCAAGTATCTGCATAGAATACACAGTGTACGAAGAGGGCACTATTACAAGCTTAAATGTTGGTGACAGTATAAATAGCATTTAGTATAGAAGGCAATGATACAAACATGTCTTTTTTCTAAAATAAATCAATAGAAAATGTGTTCCATGAAGAGCTAGAAAACTAAATGTTGCTTGAACTTGGAATGAAGCTGCCTAGTGTTTAACATTATTTAAATGACTAGTTAGACTATGTTATACCAAATCATTTGGAGATGACCTCCCAAATCTATTGGCCAAAGAAATTCAGAAAACCAACCAGAAGACCACCAGACAGTAATCAGAAGCTTTTCCTCAGTCCCAGCAGTGAATCACCAAGTAACCCTAGAAACCTGAAACTCTCCTTCATTCTCTCAAGAAATCGTCATGCCTTAACTGTTGTTGAAGTTCCTTTTGTCTCTTTGGCTCCCAAACATAGTTGAACGGACTGGCACACAAACCACTACCTGCTTTTGGAACAGGTTTATCTTTATCTTTACAAGGGCATGTTCAATGTTGGACAAATGACAATATGAAATGTGCTAGGATGGAACTGTTTGTTACCCCATTCAACTTGTGAATACCAATAGGCGTAGGAAGCTGATTCAGTTCTAATGCTTTTCGGTACACAGCAGAAATGGAACCTGAATGTATCCTATGAGACTGTCTTTTTTTAAAAATGTTATACTTTATGCTACATAATGACAACAAAATTACATGTTGCATACTGACAAAGAAGCCATTCTCACCACCATTACGCAAGAAGAGCACACAAATTGTCTGGCATCATGCACCACAAATATATTTTTATCTCTCTCTTTCTCTCAAAACCCCATTTCTCTTATATTTTAAACAAACTAAATATATCTATATAACTATGTTATACAATAAATTATTTATGTTTAGGTCCTTTTATATAAGCATGGGAGAACATGGTTGATTAAGGATGTAAGTTAGCATATTCAGTCTAAATTTCTGAGCACAACAGGTAGTCCTGTTGGCAAAATATTTGTTCAGCTATCGAGGTGAGTTTTTCAGATCACTGCTTAACAATGGATAACCTTCCAACCTTATACTGTAGTATCATGTTTTCCCAACAGTAAAAGTGTGCCATAACCATTTCCGTTTCTTATTAGTTTCCAAAAAAACCTGAGGTATCAGATAGATATAAAATATTTTTTGTAGAACTGATTTCAATTTTAAATTGTATCAAAAAGGTAGTTTTTCTTTAACACCCCTGAACTGGAATTCCAGATCTCTCTATGGCAGAGGTATCAAACTGGATTTCTTCGAGCATTGTAGTTCTCCTCTGTGGGCCGGCAGGGGGACGGGACAGGGGTGGTGGCAGGGCCCCCTGGATGCTCCTGCAGCACCCTGCTGGCTGAAAACAGGCTGTGTGGCTAGTGGTGGGATTCAAAAAATTTTACTACCGGTTCTGTGAGTGTGGCTTGGTGGTCCTGTCAGGAGAAGGAGACTGTAAAATCTCCATTCCCTTCCCACCCCACTAACCAGCTTTCCAGCTCTGTTCTCCTGTGCAGGGCAACAAAAGAAGACCCAGCCTATCAGCTGGAACTCAGGAGATAGAGAAGAGATGGAGGGGCGGGGCCAGAGGTGGTATTTGCCGGTTCTACAAACTACTCAAAATTTCTGCTACCGATTCTCCAGAACTGGACAGAACCTGAATACCACCTCTGTGTGTGGCCCTTTTTTGGGCTGTTTTTTTGGCCCATTTTTGGCTCATTTTGGGCCCATTTTTCAGCCATTTTCTGACCTGTTTTGGGGCCTGATTTTCGGCTTGTTTTCAGCCTGTTTTGGACCTGTTTTTTGGCCTGTTTTGGGCCCGTTTTTCAGCCTGCTTTCAGCAGGCAGAGTATTGCAGGAGGCTGTGGAGGTGAAAACAAGGCATGTGGGGCCCCGCAAGCAGCCCGTTTTAGCCACCAGAGGCACCGCCGGCCAGTCCCTTGATATTTCCAGGATCTGGCCTGGGGTCTTGAGTTTGATACCCCTGCTCTATGGTCTTGAACAACTTTACTACTTACTTGCTTCTAATAAACATGTACAAGCAGGTAAAAGTGCAATATTTCATAAATAATTAGTTGTCTTCTAGTGTTAGAAGGGGTTATAAAATAATAAATGCCGTTTAAGTACCGCAGTTGCACAGTGGTTAGAATGCAGGCTACTTCTGCTAACTGCCGGTTGCCTGCAATCTGGCAATTCAAATCTCATCAGGCTCAAGGTTGACTCAGTCTTGTATCCTTCTGAGGTCGGTAAAATGAGGAGCCACATTGTTGGGGGCAATATGCTGACTCTGTAAACTGCTTAGAGAGGGCTGTAAAGCTCTGTGAAGCGGTATATAAGTCTAAGTGCTATTGCTATCACTTTTCATAACGATCTATAAAGATTTTTTTTTTTGTTACTGCTGAACATGATTCTGACCTTTGTAGGTATTGGCACATCCCATTATCTCAGTATCTTTTTCCAAGTCCTACATTGCTACCATACAAATTCCTTGTCTATGGCACACTTTCAGCTGTCAAGAGTAGTGCCATCAGCATAGTGCAGGTTACAGGTATTCCTTGTTTAGCAACCACGATCAGGACCAGCAACTCAGTTATTAAGCAAAGCAGTTGCTAAATGAAATTGCGGCTGGGCTTACAATATTATTTCAGTTTTCCTTCGCTTTACAGTCTGCAAAGGTCGTAAATGCAAGGACTGGTTGCAAAGCTACTTTTTCATTATCGTCATAACCACACATGGTCACTAAGGACTGCCCATATTAATATTTCTTCCTCCAATTTTAAAATTGTGCCATCGTCTTCCACTCTAGCCTCTCTCAATATGTATACAAGGATGAGTAATAGGGAGAGAATAAACAGCCTTGTTTTTCACCTTTGTTCCCCAGGAGCTAGTTTCTAATAATGTCTCTTGCTTCTCTGTCTTTTCTAAAACCAAGCTGAATATCTGGCATCCTTTTTGCTTTAATCTGCATTCAGTAATCTTTATCATTATTTTGCCAGCACATGAAATTAAAAATATTCCTATTAGTTTGCACATTTAAGTCTCCATTCTTTGGTAATGCTATATGGACTGACGTATCCACTAAGTTGTTCTCTACCTTTGTTAGCATAATTTAATTAAAATCTTTGCTGATTCTTCCTCTCTTGTTTCCCACATTTCTATAAGTACCGTGTTTCTCACAAAATAAGGCCGGGCCTTATTTTTTTTTTTGAGCCCTGAAAAAACGGCTAGGATGTCTTTTGGGGGGTGAATTAATTTCCCCCCCCCCCCCCCCCCATGCACCAGCGCCGTCTCCAACAACAGCATCTGAGTCGCTCCTGCTTTTCCCCCGTCCTCATAACAATAGGAAAAAAAAGATTTTGAGGTACCTGGGAGCGCCTCAAGCTGCGCAGCAGCAGCGGCAGGAACCGTGGAAGTTACGGAGGCAGCTCCCACACCCGAGAAGTGGCTGAAACGCTTCCACGGTTCCCGCCGCTGCTGCCACTGTTATTGGAGACGGCGCTGGCGAGAGAGGGACAGCTGCAGCTCGGCCTGGGCGCTTGGAATGCAGGAACAGGCTGCGCACCGGGACTTTTGCAAACTTGCAGAGCCCGAGGCTGCAGCACCAAGGGTAGCAGAAGTAGAGACGCTCACTCGGCTCTTCTCACGCCCACCCAGCTGCTTGGGATTAAACCAAAACGCAGCACGCAGCGCTCCCAGGTACCTCAAAATTTTTTTTTCCTGTTGTTACGGGCACGGGGGAAAAGCAGGAGCGACTCAGACACTGTTGTTGGAGATGGCGCTGGCGAGAGAGGCGCCAGCACCGGTGGGAACCGTGGAAGCTATGGAGGCCTGAGAAGCAGCTGAAACGCTGCCGGACATCCACGCCGACGCTGCCCGCCTGCTAACCCGG